CCAAAACAAAACAACAAAAAGAAATCCCTGTCCAAGTGCTCAGCTACTTCAAGTTATTTGCTCCTTGAAGTATTCTAAACACCATCAAGAAAGAAGCCAAGACTTACAACCTTGAAGATTTTCGCTTCAGACAGCTTTTGAATTTCACTTGGCTGTAATTTTCAGGTTTCCTGTACCATCCTAATGCACCTGTGAAACAAATTGTGCTCCATTGACATTCATGGGCATTGTGATTATACCAGAACTTGATGCCAAAAGGGAGCCGACTAAAACACTGCATGTTCGAGCATAAATATCATAAACGAATCTTTAGATGAAAACTGCTCTTGCAGACAACTGGATAACTGTGCCTGTCTTAGAAGCCAAACTCCGATTCTGCTCGCTTAAGCACAGATGTCACCCTAGCAAAAAATTCTGGTTCTTCTTCCTTTATATCTTCTAGTGACCTCGACTCGTGTTCATCAGCCTTCAAGCAAAGAATAGCATGAGAAAGACCTTACTACAGTTTCTGATGCAGCTAAATAACAATAGTTTCCTTAAAAATCAAGCACCCCCTTTATGTGTCCCAGTTGCAGAAGTCAATTTGTGCAGTACTTGATGTTAAGTTTGACAATTTGGCCATAAGATCGCATTTTTAATGCTTTAGTCCAACAACAAAAAAAAATGACTGGATGCACGTTTCATCAGAGCCTCCACCTACAAATGAAGCGAATATGTTCTAGAAAGTTACCTCTTTGAATCTTAGAAGGATTAGATTCGACACAGAGGCTGGCTTTGTTTGGTCCCACCTAAAAGGATGTCAAAACAAGTAATGTATTATGAGTTGAGAGGCAGAAAGCCAGAGACATTGCTAAACATAAATAGCTATGACGATCACTACATACAAAATGATACTTAAGAAATTCTCTGAAGTGATAGATCATGCGTAAATAGAAACATTAAACATGAATTTTATAGGGTGAAAATATGAGATCCTTCTTCTACATCAGATACAAGTTGTTAAACAATATTCACTTTGAGTGGATTAACAAATAATACGCATAAACTTGTATGGATAAGTGGATAATATTTGTGGGAAAAAATTACTTTTGTGGGGTCCACTGACTAGTATGCCTCTTGTATTCAGGATTTCCCATTTTCAGTTGTGTGAAAAACCATTAATTACTCATGGACCAAAAGAAGAAATATTATGATGATCTTATTATATTAGACTAATGGATTCCAGCACATAAATAAAAGAATTTGGCATATTATATCGTCCATAATCAAGCATATCATATTTCACCGAGTATAATAGTGATGTAGCAACTTATATCATCCATAATCATGCATATCATATTTCACAGTGTAAAAGTGATGAGGCATATGGATTATTGGGTGCCTTTTTTACAGAAACACGTTGCATAGGTTCTCAACTTCTGGTTTACTAATATATGGGATTTCATTGCCCCAAATTACCAGTAAAATATTGCCTTGTCAAAAAATGAAAGAGGCAATCTTTTTCATCATAGTTTAAAAGATCTTGTGGTTGCCTATCTCAAGCTCAGTTCATCCAAAAGGAATGATGGTGAAGTGAGAATACACGTTCATTCCATTATATTAAGCTTAGCAGACATACCTCACAAGCATTAACTCATTCACAGAACGCCACATTGCACGCCCTACATCTTTAATAGATAGGTCTCTTGCACTTCTCCCATGCCACAACTCTTTGGCAATGTACATAACTTCTTCAACATCTACCTTAAGAGTGATAAAACAAGGATGAACATACAATAAATGCAGTATAAGCGGCATGATAAGTGCGGCAATGTGACTTGACACATGTATTTCATAATGCTGAATAACAAAAACTGAAATAGCATGCAAAAGAAAATTGGAAAATGAATATAATTCTCTTTCAAAAAAACATCATGGTTACTTCCAAATCTATTACCATTATGTGTACTACGATTATTCAGAAAATGTGGTGTCATCATTTTGGTCAAGAGTGGTACTTAAGTTCAACGATCGTGACCGATCCCACTACGACATGACCATGATTGAGATTACTGCAAATCATAGTCATCATGGTACATACAGTGTTTTAAAAGGCGTGGGCGTAAGGCGGGGCGTTTTATATATGCCTCAGCGGGGCGTAAGCCCCATAAGTATTTAATTTTTAATATTTTATAAAATAATATAATGACAGTTAATATTTATAAACAGGTAAAATTGCATAAAAATTGAAGAAAACCATAAATATGTGTGCTCCATCCCCACAAAAAACTATTCAAAACAATCTATTAAACGTTACTTACAAGCGCAAGTAATTTGAGTCTAAAAGAATAAAGTTTTCTATATGGAGGAACAAAAAGGATAGATTAACCTGCACTTTGAACTTTGAATTTGCTGCTATGAAGAATAATGTAGTTATCTTTGTATTTATAAAAAAAATTAAATATTCGTTGCTTTTGGGAGATATTAGCAAACTAGCGGACAAGATAAAAAATTGAAAAAACTATGAATTAGGGCTTAAATCAATAAAAAGGGTCTTTACTTTTAAATTTAATACTTTTGAATTCCTTTTTAAACCTTTTGAGTAATTACCAAACTGACTTTTGAGAATTTGGGTATTATATGAAGGACTAATTCAACAAATTTTGTTTTAATTTGAAAAAGTCTCTGGGGCTTACTCCTTACTAAAAAAACGCGCCCCGAACGCCCAGGCGTACTCCCCGAACGCCCGGGCGTACGCCCCAAATTGCGGGGCGTACGCCTCTTGAGACTTTCGCTCCACACCATCGCCCCGGGGCGTTTTTGGTACGCCTCGCCCCGGGGAAAACGCCCCGGGGCTCGCCCCAGAAACATCTTTTAAAACAGAGGGTACAGATACCTTCATTACTACCTTAAGAACTATCATTTCTTACGATTCCATCTTACTTATTTCTTTTTATTGCTAAAAGTTAATATATTAAAGTACAAGAGGCACCAAGATGGTGAAGAAGAATAGAGAAAACTCTATCTTACATATTTATAGGTAATGACTTACTGATAGGAGCACATTTTCAATTTGACATTTCTGCTGTTAGAATGAGCCTAGATTTATTACATGTCTAGATTCAAAGAAGCATATAACAGAGAGGCACGCTCCTCGTTGAATGATATCAAATTATATTAAAAAAGAAAGATGGAACTATTAGCAAGCAACAAAGGAAACAAAACCAGCCCAAGTGGAAGTTGAGGAGATCCACTGCTACAGGCAGCTCTCATCCACATGAGAGTTGATGCCTTATATGAGGCTTTAATTTATAATGCTCCTTTTTTCTGATCAAAGGTGGAGGAGGGGACAACCTAAAAAACAAAATCACGCGGCCTCCACCGGATTAGATAATGCACCACAATACACACTAGCCTTGCCTACTCCATTGCTAAGACAAAAATAGATCAGGCATACTGTAACCCTCCAGACGGAAAAAAACTCGTGCATGAGCTTATAGAAACTAAAATTTCTCACCCTTTAACATTAGGTTCTGTTTTTAGTGCTATCAGTCTGCAGATTAATTCCTTTAATATAAAATAGTGATATTTGCCTCGATGAATTGTCCCATAAAAAAAAAGAATAATCAGAAAATTATCCTTGCAGCTCCTAACTCGATGACTCAAGCAAGAAAGTAGAAAATGCAAGCTCAGGACTGAGTACCTCCACTTGCATGGATGTGCCATATAGCAACTCTTCATGCTCAATTAGACGTTGATGGAGGATTCGGTAGTGATCCGTATCAAAGTTCACCACTGGCTCCATCTGGACTTGCAATCCAGCTAGTTGAGTCGCAACATAGGAAGCCATGACTTGCCCAAAAATTGCAGGTATAGTCCCCAGAACTGGAATGATGCGGACCCTAAATCCAGGCACTATCTGATATCCATATTGCAAATTTAAAAATGTTAAATGAAAGATTCTTTCGGAATAAGAGAGGAATATTAAGTAACATTTAGGAAAGAGAGTGACTTTTACTTATATTGTTTAAAGTTTTCTGAAATGTGTCTTTCCCTTAACTTTATTATAGAAATTGCTAAAATTAGCACTTCAAAGTTAATTCTTACTTGATAATCTGAAGGATTTTCTTCGTCTCCACTCGGCCCTTTAAAGGGAAGCAGTTTTGCCTTGGGTTTCTCTAAAGAAAATACCACAGGAATACCACCATCAATACCATGATCTTTTCTCAAACGATGTCTTACCTGCTCAATTAGTTTTTCAAATTCAACTCAATAAAAGTAAACCAGAAAAAGAGAACTGGATAATACTAAGAACATTATTTTCCATTTATTATGCATGGTCCAGCCGTGATTCCGAATATCCCTGAACATATAACACCAGTATTGAACTTATAACTCTTCAATTTTAAAGAGTTTACTACGAAATTTAAGTAGTTAAAGATTCTGTTGACACAACACAGTTGACAGCCTGTAGCCCTGGTAATAAATGCAAAATTCAGTTTTTATAGTTTATCGGCTTTCAAGCGAATAAAATATCAGGGTAGAATATCATTATAGACTTAAAAATCTATTCCATATATGGAGAAATAGTCTCGCCACTGGAGAGACTGATGTCCTCAAACATAGAGTTATAGAAGGTTTTTTAGTGATATCCAGTAAGCCAAGTGATTCCATAAGATGGACATGTCTGGAAGATGGACTATCTGTTCTCATCTCCAACCAGGAGAGTTTGAAGTCAAAATTATCTGTTATATAATGTGGTGGATAAAGGACGTCATTTCAACGTATAAAAAAATGAATCAGTAATAGAATGGAACTAAAAAATCTGAAAATTCTGGATGCTGCATGTATAGCATGAAAAAAATTCCAGAGAATTAATTACAGCTCGAGAAAGAGGGTCATTGGTGGACTCTCTCAAGTCAGCCACACGAATTCTTGTTGGATCAGCCCTTACGCCAGCTCCTGTTGCAGATAAAACTTTCAAACCTCTTCGAACACATGCAGCAAGAAGCGCCACCTACAAAGTATATATAGCAAAAGTTTCTAACTGGAAAAGATTCAAAAGGTATTGTATAGAACCATAACTACTATGCATCATGCAATTGTTTTCTCAAATACTTACTTAAAGACAGAAGAGATAGAAACTAGCCATTTCCACCGTAAACTACATAAACAAATATTTCATAAGTCCTAAGCTCTTATTCTGGATCTTTTTTCAAGAATTCATAAGGAAGATAGTGTAAAAGAAACTTCTGGTTCAATGGGCATCATACGATTCAATCCTAATGAGTAATGAGACTGCTACAATTCCAGTAAGGTTCCGAATTGTTAGTGGACTTTAATTGCACTCTGAAAAATCAATTAACAGAAAAGTGTTACCACAGAAGAAAAGAACATTAAGATCAACCTTATTAGTTGTCTACAATGTTTAAAATTTTCAGAAATCATGCAAAGAAAAATCCATCACCCCCCCCCCCCCC